AGCAGAGGGCACACCCCTGTCCAACGTACTGTGGAGAAGACCCCCTACCAGTCTTGTCATTAACTTCCCAGTGGCCAGCTTCCAGTGGGAGGATTTTGGCTACATGCCTAGTTTATGGAAATAGGGCGCTCCTCTGTAGCTTGCTCCTGGTACTGTTGGCTAAGGGCAAGGGAGACTCCTGGGCAGCTGAACCTACCGGGTGCAGGGGAGAGACCGGGGCTGCCTCAGGAACCTCCTGCTCCAACACGTGGGTGCACGCGCTGGTACAGAGCTGATGCCGGGACTCCGGAGCCTGGCACTGCTGTTTGGAGCTTCCTGGCTGCAGCCGACCCCAGCTCTGGGTACCTGCTGCCAGCCACAGAGCCCAGGCTGCTCCCAGCAGACAGCTTGGACGCTGCAAGCCCTGCTGGGAGCAGCCCGCTCCAGCAGCTACTCAGAGTTGGGGCTGGACATGGCGTGCCAACAAAACGGCCTCGTGTGCCATGCTCGGCATGTGTGCTGGGGGTTGCTGACCCCTGCCCTAGGTTGAAAAGTCTGGGGTGGAGGATACTTGTGAGTTGTAGCACCACATATGGTGTTTCAGCAATTGAGTTTTGCTCAGTCGCAAGTATTTGGAACTGATTTGACTCATTTGACCTGGAATAAGAAAAAATTTCCAAAACAAACAAAAAAAATTAGTAGAAGAAAAGCAGCTGATTGTTGGGAAATCAAGGCCTATGAAAAGGGGGGAGGGTGGTTATCACACACTTTTTGTGTGTGGGGACAAGTCAGGAATTGGATCAAATATAATGTGCCATGAGCCTGATATCAGTGTTTAGTCCTTGCTTGGTGTTCAGCTGACATGCCTTTTTATTCCCAAGATTTCCTTTGAAAGGCAGTAGGTAGATTGCCCTTGAGCAGGAAGGTAGTGAGGTTAGAGAGGAAGTGGTTGTTATGTGAGAAATATGCTCCTAATGGTGTGTGTATGTCTCTCTTCTCTATATTTTCTGAGGGCTCATTCTGGTGCATAATTGGCTGTTCAGTTTCATCCACGTTGTTGCCATGAGGACATGTGGTACATTCGAGTGGGTACATCACATTTTGAGAGGGGCATGGAGAAACTCACTCCTAGGGAGTGACTGTTCTCCCTGTATAGAGAGAATTTGTCTCCCTTATGTGCTGGGTGGAAGGATTTTGCTGCATGTTAACAATCACTTGGGGCTGTGGTTTCAGTTTCAACTCGCTGGGATCTTGGCAAGTGACCAGGCTTCAGTTTTCTAAATAATGCATTTGTTTAAAACATTGCTGGTTTAATTTTGGCTTCAAGAAGTGGAAAATAGAGCAAACTTTTCTCACTAGATGAAGGTTGCTGCCTTTCCACTTTCCTGCACAGACCACCCAGGTATACTCTGTTGTATTTGGAAGTTTTCTGAGACTTGATTGCTGTACTTTAGTTTTGTTTACTAAGGCTTTTTGATCTTCAGTTATTTTTCTTACAAAAGAAAAACTAAACAGGCAGATCCTGGTTTGTGACATGTCTGGCAAGTGTTAAGTTGAATAGTGTGCAATTTTCTTCTCTGTGGCAGATTAAAGTAAAAACATTTTTTGCCCCTGGGTATTTATATCCCACAGCAGAGAGGAGTACTTAGCTGTGTTAGTCTAAAGGCTGGGTAGATAGGCACATTTATAAACTAAGATAGAGCAGGGGTTCCCAAACTGTGGTACGTGTACCCATGGGGGTATGCAAGCTATCTCAGGGGTGGTGGGGTGCAGTACACAGGAGAAATTGTGTAATGGAAGATTTAATTTTCATTATAATTATTGGCATTTAAGGGGTTAAAATATAAAATATGGTGGTAGGAGTATGGGAGCAGCTGGTAAATCTGGAAGGGGGTACGCAATAAGGAAAAGTTTGGGAACCTCTGAGAGAGAGAGAGAGAGTGCGCGCGCAAGTTTTCAAGCTTTTGTGTTCACTTCATTAAAGGGTGTGAAAGGATGTGTAGAGCACAGAGTATAAGGAGAGAGGGATTAGAATGCAAAAGACGAGTGAGGAGAGATGTGGGGTGTGGATGGCAGTACTAGGAGAGAAAAAAAAAAAAAGAGAAATAAACCCCTAGGAACAACGGTCACAAAAGCTAATCCAGGTAATGAGAGAAGAATCCACAGTCCTTGTTTAAACCATACTTAACACAGTCCAGTTTGTGGATGATTTATTTTTCTGCAGTTTCCCATTCAAACTGGTTTTAAAATTTTTGCCTGAGGTACAGCAATCCTGAGGTCAGGAATGGAGTGTCCAGAGGGTTGAAGTGTTCTGCCACAAGCTTTTGAGTCTTTCTGCAGCTGATTCCAGATCAGCATTCATTCATTCTTACACATAGATATCACCTTGTGTGTCTGATGTAGACAGCAGAAGAGCATTGTAAGCAGTGATGGCATATTTGACATTGGTAGAGTTGCAGGTGAAAGAACCTCAGATGTTGTATTCCTTATTATTAGGTCTGGTAATGATGTGGTCTATTGCTGTGGGGACACAGTAGGCATTTGGATCCATTACAAGGGTGCCTTGGTGAGAATGGGAGTTCATTAGTCTGTTGTGTAAGGGATGCCATTTGACATTGGGGGGGGCTATCTGTAAAACAAGACGGGTTTGTCCTCAAAGGCTGCCTTGAGATGGTCATCCTTTTCCAGGATGGGACAATGGTCATTAGGACTAGGGAGAGAAATTGCACATAAACTGGTTTAAGTGATCAGAAACTGGTTTAAACCTGTAACAGAACAGAAGTTCAGTACACACAAACCAGTTTGCAAATGGCTGAAACTGATTCAAGATAAACCTGACTAAATGTAGTATCAGACTTAACTGATTTGGGTCAAACTGGTTTATGAGACTTCTGTTCCAGACCCCTTCCTGGTTCAAATTAAATTGCAGTCCCCCAGCATCCCAGCACACTTTCTAGCCCTGGGCTGGTCTATGCTGTCTCTTCCAGCAGAGAAAGTTTGGGTAGGGGGGAGGCAGGGATTCCCCCCCCACCCCAGCAAACCCCAGTGAGGTCTGGGGCAAGGGAGTGGGGTTAGGACTTCCCTTCCCTTGAGTACAGAGCTGCCCTGCCCTGCCCTGCCCTGCCCTGCCAAAAACTTACTGTTGGCTGTGACTGTGGACTACAAATCCCAGAGGCACCTGAAAGCAGAAAGAGAAAGTGATGAGCAACCTTGCAGAGTCATTCTGCTGTAATTCTGGACTGCAAATCCCAGAGACCTTGGGAACAGCAGAAGGAGGAAGCGAACACACAGTCCATGCTGGCTACATGCCAGAGAGCCATGCTCTAGCGCCCCTCGGCTTCTGGCCTGAGCCACTTCAGGTATGTGGCTGCATTTCCTGAGTCAAAAATTAATGTCTGTCCAGCTGTTTCTCAGTTTAATCTTTGTAACTTAGACTAACCTGCAAAGACTGAATCGATTCAGGCTTGGGCTTTTTGGCTATGGACAAACATTCAAAAAGCCTGAGCCTGAATTGATTCAATCTTTGCAGGCTAGTCTAACCTGGCTAGGCTGAACCAGTTTGTATTTGTACAGACATCCCCTCTGAACTGACGAAATACAGGCATATGCCTGCAGTGGCTCAGGCTAGAATCCAGGGGGGGCTAGAGCACTCCTAACCTGCTGGGCTGGTTAGGAGTGATCCTAACCAGCCCAGCAGGGAGTTGATAACACAGTGTTTATCAGCCCATTAAGAAAACAAAAGTCTCTATCATTAATTAAAGCTCTTAAACAACTTTTTCCAAGGAAGGAATGAAGGATGTTACCAGCTGAGCTGTTGATTAACTCTAGAAAGCCCTAAGCACTGTCCTGTCTGCCTTATGCTCTTTCAGCATTAGCTAGCAGACCACATGCTGGCTATTGTCCATGCTGTGAGAGAGGGGAGCAGGGGATTCCTGCTTGAGTGGTGGTGGGGAGGGTGCACAGGGAAGCCAGGCAGATGCTGCTGTGCCTGCCATCTCTGCCAGAGCTCCAGCAAGGGAGTAGAGGGGAGGGGCCAGCCCAGAGCTGCAAAGCATCTGGGATGCTGGAGGACTCTGGTTTAAGTTGAACCAGGAAGGGGTCTGGGACAGACATTGCATAAACTGGTTTGACCCAAATCAGTTAATTCTGATACTACATTCATCCAGGTTTATCTCAGACCAGTTTCAGCCATTTTGAAACTGGTTTATGTGCATTGAACGTCTTTTCTGTTACAGGTTTAAACCAGTTTCTGATTACTTAAACTGGTTTATGTGTAATCCCTAGCCTTTGACTGTCTGTACTTAGACTAGGTGTTCAAGCTGGGGACTGTAGGTGACAACTGGAGGGATTCTGTTGTCCTGTTTAGGTTGGTATTGTAGCAGGTCTGAATCTGGCCTTGTTGATCTGAGTGACTAGTTACAGTTTTGGGATTGTATTGTAATTGTAAGAAACCCTGCTGTAGATCCTTACGGTGTTCATCCTGGTTGGTGGGGTCAGAGCAGATCTGGTTGTAAAGTAGGTGGCTGTAACTGATGGATCTAGTGGTGTGCTTAGGAAGAAAGCTGGTGGCATGAAGGTAGCTGTGGTGGTTGGTAGGTTTCCAATACAATGTCATGACAATGAGGCCACTGCAAAACTTCTCTGTAGTGTTTAGGAAATGAATCTGCTGAAGTCAGTTAGAAGGATGGGTACAGATGCACCTTTATAGACTAAGTAAATAAGATGTATATAGAACACAAGTTTTTGTGAACCCAAGTTCAATTCAAATGCTGTGAAAGAGTAGAGTGCGCTGTGAGTGGCATACAAGCAAAGAATCCATAGGAACAACAGCTTAACTTTCTTTTACATTCTTTTTAACTATCTCTGCAATTCCTGCACACATTCCTCATCACCTGGCTTCATGGTAGTGTGTCAGTAAGTGCTATGTGTGTTTCAAGAATGCCTGCTGGTTCAGGCTCCTCAGGAGACTTGGATATTCCTCCATGTAGTTTCTGAAATCCAGTGAAGCTTAGGTGAGAGAGGGGTGCTGAGGGGTAGGTTTGTGTATATGTAGAGCTAGAATTCTGTCTGAGGAACTTTCAAGTTAAATGGGGGGTGCCAACTGAGTTTAAATACCTGCAGGGAGAGGGGCAGTTGAACAGGGACTTTTGGATCACAGTTTTGGGTTAATCACCTGAATGCTGCCTGCCTTCTGTCACATAAAGCCTGATTGGATCCAGCCTTCAACAACTCCAGATTTTTTACATCGGTGTATCTGAGGGCAGGAAAAAAAAAACATTTGGCTTGTAAAGAGTCATGCTTTACTTGCAGTGGCAAAAATAACAACTGTCATAATAGCACACATTGCCATATGCACTGATTTACAGTACGTCAATACCTTCAAAAGGGTAAAATACTGGATAAACTACATCCTACTCCAGGTGAAAAAGGTTTAACAAGAACCCATGGCAGCAAGTTAAAAACAGATACATTTAGCTAAGGATGGTTTATCATTAAAATTAGGGATGCACCGATAGAGATTTTGGGGGCCGATACCAATAATCGATATTTAAGGAGGCACGTCGGCCAATACTGATCCAATATCCGATACAGCTGCCTCCAGGTGGTAAGTCTTTTGTGGTGGAAGGAGAGGGGAGAGGGAAGGGGCATGAGGGGGCAGATCAACACCCCCCCACAGTGAGGGAGGCAGGGGTGGGAACACTGAATGGAGGCACAGCTGTGGGGGGAGGTGGCTCCTGCCGCTGCTTGCACCCTGGGAGGGCAGGCAGTAGGGTGGGGTGTGTGCCCCCCCGGATCTGCGTGGGGGTGGGTGAGCAGGTGGGCTGGTACTGGTGCTGCATGGCTCTTCTCAGTGGGGATGGGGTTGGAGCAGGCACCAATGGCACTAGGAGGGGGCTGCAGCCACCCCAAATTTCGCCACCACTCTGCTCCCAGTCCTTTGCAGCCAGGCACAGCCTGGCTTCATGTCCCACTTCCACCTACGTACTGCGGCCCCCTCCCAGCATTGCCTGCTCTGAGGCTGTTCCGTGGGGGTGGGCTTGGAGCGGGCATTGGGAGAATGCTGAAGCCACCCACATTTCACAGCAGTTCTGCTCCCAGTGCTACTGCCCTCCACCTGGCACAGCCTCAGCTCTTCGCAGCGTGTGAGTGGAGGAGGGACATGGAGCCGGGCTGTGCCTGGCGGTGCAGGGCTGGGAGCGGAGATGCCACGAAATCTGAGGTGACTGCTTCTCCCAGTGCTGCCAGTTCCCGCTCTGAGCCCAGCCCTTGCCAAGAAGAGCTGTGTAGTGCTGACTCTAGCCTGCCCGAGCTGTGCAGATCCAGGGGGCACACCCCCCTCCCCTGCCCTCCCAGGGTGCAAGCAGCAGCAGGAGATGCCACCCCCCGCCACACACACACACACAAGCTACTCCTCTGTCCCATGCCCCCGCCCCACCTGGACAACACCTGCCCCCTCCCTCCCTCACCGCAGGGGCATTGATCTGGCCCCCCATGCCCTTTCCCTCCTCCTCCCCTTCTGACTTACTGGCTGGAGGCAGCTCTCCACGCTGCCGGCTCTGCTCCACGCTTTCATAGATTCATAGATATTAGGGTTGGAAGGGACCTCAGCAGATTATCAAGTCCGACCCCCTGCCCCAGGCAGGAAAGAATGCTGGGGTCAGATAACTCCAGCCAGGTGCTTGTCCGCTCTCCTCTTAAAGACCCCCCAAGGTAGGGGAACCCAACCCCTCTCCAATAAGGGAAAAAACAGAAGCTGAGGAGTAGCAGGCCACTAATTCCCTGTGCCAAACTGAACATCCAGCCCACAGGCCATAGATTGCTGACCCCTGCTATAGGTATGTTTGATTTTTTTTATGTGAAAGTTAAAATGTTGCACAAGCCGACAATACAGGCTGAGAATATTTATATCTATCATTGGTTACCGAGTTTTAGAAGTTCTGCTTCAACTCAGAAGGTGTAAAAAATGTGTAAATAGAAAAGAAGTCAGTAGAAGATCGTGGGGGGGGGGGGTGGTGAGGAAGGAGAAGGGGGGAAAAGGGCAAAAAGTTGAGAACTCTTCCTCTAGAACAATGCTTCTCAAATTATCTGATGGGGTGGACTGGCAATTTTTTTTCCAGTGGGCCAGGGACCGGTGCCTGGTTCAGCTGGTGGCAGCAACTGCGTGTAACAGCGTTACACAAATGTGCGACTGGCTGTTTCTTTCTCTTTCCTCACCTCGCATGACATGATGTCACCTGGAGTGTTGGAATGTATGAACTGTGGCGCTATGACATATCAATGTTTGCTTCTAAAAATATATTTCTTTCTTTCCTGGCAACTTGCTGCGGATTGGTGAATATATTTCTTTCCTTCCTGGCAACTTGCTGCGGACCAGTGACCGGTGGTTCGTGGACCACCACTTTGAGAAGCACTGCTCTAGAATCTTTCTGTGCTTCCCTTATTGCAGAGGGATTGGGTATCTATAGGAGGGCAAGTGCAAGACTTCTGGGGGAGTGGAGACTTCCGGCTCACAGCCAGGGCTGGGTTATAAATTCCAGTTGCTGCTCTGTGGCTGCACGCAGCAAGGGCATTTCTCGGCCAAATTATTGGGCCGATATCCGATACAGCCAGTTTTCTTTATATCTGTATGTCACAACCCAAAGGGTGTGATTTTTGTTTTTGTGTGCTTCGGCACTGCTAAATTGTTCCCGCTAAATTATAGCTTCTTTGCATGGTGGAGTTTTCTGCTGCAAAAGAGAACCCCGGTGCAAGGGAGAATTTCCCGCCAATTGAAGATCTCTAAGCGCTGCGGATCCTTACGGACCCAACGCATTTCAAGCAGGCAACAGAGGTCTGATCAACCTCTAGTCTCTCCCCGTCGCCGATCGCAGCCTAGACGTATCCCTTCCTGCGCGCAAAAGAACCGAACCCACGGAGCCTAGCAAACTTCGTGTGAGTCCTTGCCAGACGACCGACCTCAGAGCTCTTCTACCCGGGTTCGAGTCCTGCAGGTTTATCTTCCCGTCGCCGAAAACCCATTGCGACGTACCCTCGTGTTTTGCATCTTCCCGTCGCCGAAAACCCCTTGTGACGTACCCTCGTGCCCTGCAGGTTCGAGTTGTTTTGTTGTCTGTCTGTAACCGCAACTCAAGCAAGTTTTCCAGCCTACACCACTGCCCTCTCGGTGTAAGTAAACAATCTTTTAAACTACCGCTAAGCGTTTGTGCCTAATTCCAGCTCGACGGCCTTCCCTCTCCGACCTGGCGTGTCCGGGCTGCTGGCCACAGCCCGCGTGCAGCACGGAAAAGGGCTCGGGTCACTCCCGGCCCGCACACTGTACCAATCTGATATCAGATCAATGTATCAGTGCACCTCTAATTAAAATAAATCAACAAGATGTGGTAGATTCTGCATCTCTTGATGACATCAGTTTAGATCAGAATAATTCCTGAAAGATGCACTCTAATCAGACACAATCAGAGTGTTTAGTGAAAGGATAATTTTCTTGTAATGTAATGGCCTGTGATGTACAGGATGCCAAGCTAGATGATCTAGTGTTCTCTCTGAATCAATGAGAGCACTTGTTGAGCATCAAAATTTGTTAAATAATAATAGTTTGCTATTTGTTATTAAAAGAATGCAATTGGCCAGATTAACACTAACCTTCAAGGAGCACGCTGTGCAGATTTGGGAATGGGATTTAAAGCTCACCATTGCTCTTCCATGATCATTGGTTGTCCAAGTGCTGATCCACCCCCCCCACTATAAATTAGAACATTTCCATGTTATCAAAAAATACCATCATCAGCAGCCCCTTGCAGTTGAGGATGATTCTTTCACGATTGCCTTATCTGTGGGTGCAAAAATGTCTGATGAGCAACTCCAAAAATGCATGCATGCCTTTTTGGTACAAACTCTGTTGCAACTTGGGCACATGTTTCCATACAGGGTAAGTAGATTGTTTATTCAGTCTCTCACCTGCTGTTTCTGCCACTCCTGCTTTTGTCTCCTGTTGTTGTTGTAAGGTTTCAAAGTACTGAGATCCTTGCAGCACACTTCCTTCATTTGGGGTGCTCCTGGGCAATAGTCTCCCATGAGCTGAAGTTGATGTTTCATTCTTTTTTCAAGTTGGCCTTGAGGATGTCCTTGAAGCACTTTCTCTGCCCTCCTCTTGAGCATACCCCTTGACTGAAGTGAGAGAATAAAATTTGCTTTGGGAATCTAGAGTTGGACATCCAGATGATGTGGCCGGCCCAATGAAGTTGATGCCGGATGATTGTTGCTTGATGCTCAGGGTATTTGATTGCAAGAGGACACTAATGTTGGTGCATCTGTCTTCCCACTGGTGCACCGATGGTCAGATAGCTATTAGAAATGTAGAACAAAGCAGGTGTACTACCAAGAAACTGATCCAGTGTATTAATTTTCCCCATGTATGCAACTTACAAAAGTAAGTCATGTATGGATTTTTGGAGTTGCTCATTTTCCAGCAGTTCTGAGAGCTGATGATTGCTGTCTGTTTATACTTACAAATGTTACTTAAATTATGTGTTTAACATGATAGCAAGATTTATTTTGCAAGTCATTTTTATTATAAATGACTTGAAGACCAATGGGTAAAGTTAATATCAAGGGAGTTACATTAGTGATGAACTTGGTCCAAAACATTTAATTGCATTTACTTTGAAAGGTAGCCAATTTATCAGTGCTTAAAAATCAGGTATACAGTATTTGCACATCTAGTAGTTCCACTTAATGGCAGGGGGACTTTAATTGTGGGAATTGGATAACCTAAAATACACATGCATTGTTTGAAGACCTTCACAAGACAAGACACTAATCCTGAAAACACACATATATGTGACGTTATAAATGAGTAGTCATGGTGAAGTCATGTGGATATTTGCAGGTTTGGGACCTTAATTTGTAATGAATCGACTGTCCTTAGAATCAGAGCTAGTTGAGTGTTTGCTAGATGCCCCTAAACAGCTATGGCAGATGTTTTTTTGCATGCATTTGTAGTATTCAGCCTTCCTTGTTAGATATATGCATTAGGATACAGCTTTTAATAGCATTTTCATTGGAGAAATAGTATCTGATCGTACAATGAAATCTGTTTTACATGCATGTGTAGTATTATCACATTATGCACAACTCCATGTAGCAGTAGTGTAACTTAGGGGGCATGAGTGGGATACCAGCCTGAGGCCCCAATTCTGAACATTCTGACACCCCTCAGGAAGCTTGCACTGAGGCTGCAGCAGCCCTTGGTGC